TTTGCTCCTGCCTCTGTTCTCACTCAGTTCGCGACATACGATCAGACCTCACTCAGTAGCAGACACTCAATTTCCGCTACTATGCTTCTTTCCCGTTAACTGCGCATTTACAATCCAAAGTTCCAAAATATGTCTCGCCAATGCGTCGCCTACTTTAAATGACGTTCTAGGAAATGCACCTACGCAGCGAACACACACTGACCTATGAAGAACATGTATTTGCTCTCCGACATATATATATTTCATGCGAGAGTATTTGTCATTAGGACATATGTCAGTAACTGACAATGTCATTTTTAGCAAACCCCAGTACTTCATCCCCTACCAGTGCATACTCAGACCTCAAAGCTCGATAATGCTTCTTCAAAAACAATATCGCAGCTCTCACTAGACGACCTCCTTATGGTGAGTCCGCCGAGATTTACCGAGAAGTGTTGCTAGAGGAGACTCATCGAGATTTTTTGAATGATTGTCTGGCGGCGCAGCCGGTAAGAGCCATTACAACTTCATCGACTCAACACAGTTACATATGGCACCGCTAGCGCTCCGCTTCTTGCAATACGTTGCTTAAAACAGTTAATCGAAATATTTGCCAATCGCATCCGAAAGGATCATAGGCAATAGTCGACGACTTTTATGTCGACGATCTCTTATCAGGCGCAGATTCCCTGGTCGATCTAAAATCACTCAGGCAGGAAATTTCACAGATCTTCGGGTCTGCTGGCTTTGTGCTGGCCAAATGGGCAGCAAACTGCGCTCTTAACGAAAGTCCGTTGCAAGAAGCAAAAATTCCTCTAGGCGACACTGGAGACACCAAGACTTTAGGGCTTACTTGGAGTCCGAAGCAGGATGTCTTTAAATGTTGTATTCTCGAACTAGATGGAAACGTCCCACCAACAAAACGTTCGATCGTTTCATTCGCATCTCGCCTGTTCGACCCATTAGGTTCGATTTGTCCTCTCTTCAAGAGATAGGGGCCATTAAGATTCCCAGATACGTCGGCACAAGTTAATAAATTCCATAATATTTAAATATTACAAAATCTCAAAGAACAAAAAAAAATTAAAAACAAGAATGGAAAGCTAACTTCGGGCGGAGCCGAAGTTGATATACCCTTGCAGAATACTCTGTAAATTATATTCTCCAAAATTATTCATATGATGCATTCTTAATACTCATCAAAAATCCCAACTTCCTAACTTTAAAAACACCAAAGTTATGGCATTTCCAATCGTTCAGTTATATGGCAGCTATAGGATATAGGCGGCCGATCCTTATGAAATTTGATAGGTCGGATTGATTGGCTAAAAATAAAACCCATAGAAAATCCCAACTTCCTAACTTAACAAACACCAAAGTTATGGCATTTCCGATCGTTCAGTTATATGGCAGCTATAGGATATAGTCGGCCGATCCTTATGAAATTCGATATGTCGGATTGATTGGGCAAAAATAAAACCCATAGAAAATCCCAAATTTCTAACTTAACAAACACCAAAGTTATGGCATTTCCGATCGTTCAGTTATATGGCAGCTATAGGATATAGTCGGCCGATCCTTATGAAATTTGGTACGTCGGATTGATTGGCCAAATATAAAACCCATAGAAAGTCCCAACTTCCTAACTTAACAAACAGCAGAGTTATGGCATTTCCGATCAATCAGTTATATGGCAGCTATAGGATATAGTCGGCCGATCCCGGCCGTTCCGACTTATATACTGCGTGCAAAGGAAAGAAGGGTGTGTGCAAAGTTTGAATTCGATATCTTTAAAACTGAGAGACTAGTTCGCGTAGAAACAGACAGACGGACAGACAGACGGACAGACGGGCAGACGGACAGACGGACATGACTATATCAACTCAGGAGGTGATCCTGATCAAGAATATATATACTTTATAGGGTCGGAGATGTCTCCTTCACTGCGTTGCACACTTTTGACCAAAATTATAATACCCTCTGCAAGGGTATAACAAGAAAGGAAAGCTAACTTCGGGCAGAGCCTAAGTTGATATACCCTTGCAGAATATTCTGTAAATTATATTGTTTGGCCAAAAATAAAAACACATAAAAAATTCCAACTTCCTAACTTTAACAAGAGAGAACGCTATAGTTGGGTGCCCCGACTATCAGATACCCGTTACTCAGGTAAAGGGAGTGCGAGGGAGATGGAGATAGAAACTTTGATCACGCATAACTTTTTAACGAATGGTCCGATTTGAAACATTTCGATAGGTATTGATAAACACAATAAAACTGCATTTTTACTTTTCCGAAATATTTAAATTTTTAAAATCGTATCTAAGCGATTGTGGGCGTTAAAGGGGGCGTGGCACCTTTTTGAAACAAACTTGCGCTGCGTAGGAACTCCTAGAATCTGCATGCAAAATGCCAATCTTCTAGCTTTTATAGTTTCCGAGATCTCAGCGTTCATACGGACAGACAGACGGACAGACGGACATGGCTATATCGACTCGGCTAGTGACCCTGATCAAGAATATATATACTTTATAGGGTCGGAAACGCTTCCTTCTAGCTGTTACATACTTTTGCACGAATACAATATACCCTTTTACTCTACGAGTAACGGGTATAAAAACACCAAAGTTATAGTCGGCCGATCCTTATCAAATTTGGTAGGTCGGATTGATTGGCCAAAAATAAAACCCATAGAATATCCCAACTTCCTTACTTTACAAACACCGAAGTTATGGCATTTCCGATCAATCAGTTACATGGCGGCTATAGGATATAGTCGGCCGATCCCGGCCGTTTCGACTTATATACTGCGTATATCCGACCTACCAAACTTCATAAGGATCGGCCGACTATATCCAATAGCTGTCATATAACTGAACGATTGGAAATGCCATAACTTTGGTGTTTGTAAAGTTAGGAAGCTGGGATTTTTTATGAGTATTAAAAATGCATCATATGAATAATTTTGGAGAATATATTTTACAGAATATTCTGCAAGGGTATATCAACTTCGGTTCCGCCCGAAGTTAGCTTTTTTTTCTTGTTTGTACTAATATTTATTTAAGCGTTGATCTTTTGGGGAGCCTCTTGTCAGAGCACAAAAACACAATAAAAACTTAGAGAAATCGCTTGGTAGAACTAAGTGCAGCTAAGAACTTTAAATTAGCAAATATTTATCAGAAATTAAAAAAACAACAGTTAAATTTAAATTGTAATGTTTTTTAATTTCTTTGTACAGCGGTTGACTTGTCTTGCCAAGGTAGTTGATAATATATTTTAAATTTCTTTCCCACAAATACGATTTTTTGAATTTAAACTGCTTGTCAACGAACCCAGCTGATTGACAGTACGACCGTAGCACGCTTAATTCTGATGAACTTTCGAAAATACAGTCGCACTGGAAAGATTAAAGTTTTTACGCTAGCGTACTCGTTTTTCGATCTGAGTACTGGTCTTTAGCCAGAAAGGAATATAAATTTATAATCGTATGGGTAAATACTAATAGTTGTTGACCACGTGGAACAAAACAAGTGTGCTTTTTTGTTCATATCTTTATTAAGTTATAATTTTATAATATATGCACATCTTTTGCCAATTATTAAATATATAGGAACTTTATAAATATGTATTTATATTTCCTTTTTTAAGTTTTACCCATTATTTGTAGTAACTCTGATTAATACATAGGCAGACATTAAAATTAAGTTTACGATTAAGTTTACTTACTTTGAATTTACGAATCAAGTATTTTAATAGCATGAATTTTTTTAAATCGATTAATAAATAGCAACGTTGTACATACATACATATGTATATGATTTTCAAAAATGTGTTTAGCATTTCCACCTACACACAAAATATAGATGTAAAATGACATAGCTCAGATGAAACCGAATTGTAAAAACTAAACATAAATAAAATAGTTAGGACTATGTGTGAAGGTAATTAAAAAATATGAAGGCAAAGTCTCCGTAAAAAATATAATTGGTAAAAAGAACGGACCAAACTTTTAAAGGTTTATTCTAGTATATGGTGATATGTTATATATTTATACATACATACGTAACTATGTATGGTGGTTATCAATTGAGCAATTCAAGTTCTGATCTCATCTGTGAAATCGCATTTTATTTTGTGTGTTACATATGTTGATCATATATGTATATCGTCGTACCGATTAGTTATTTCAACTAATACTTATTTATAATTGCGAGGGTGTAGTTTCATAATCATATATGTATATATGAGAGTGTAAGTCTGCTATTATGTCCATATATGTTAATCTGTGTTTCTTGGCAATTATGAATGCTTAAGTACATAGGTATGAAAATAATTATTTTATAAAACGATTACGGCGTTATCCTCACACATTTGTAATTTTCTAATGTTAATATGGACATATGCTGATTATTACTTCATAAATTGCCTGTCATAAATTTAAAAATAGATAAACAGAAAATAATGTCATTTAGTTATTTGTGAACTTTCACGTAAATATATTTGTATATCTTTTTATTAAATTCTATAGGAACTTCTTAGTACAGTTTTCTTATGTTTCGTAACATATGAATATATTTATTTGCAGTTAACAATACACTTAGGCATATACGAGTACGTATAAATGAATGTGATAAAGAATGACATTAAATAAATCTATAATGTAAAATTTTTAGAAAAATGAATCAGTCTAATACTATATTTTAACTGTTTATGAGCCAACTGTGTCGTTTCAAAATATCTTGGCAGAGAAAATAAAAATTATAAATATACATAACGAGGCAATAATAAGCTGAGATTTTTCTTTAAATTCTAAGTATGATTGGAAGCTTTAATAAGAAATCAATGCAATTTTGAAATATTACTTCTGCCATCCGCCTAGAAGTTTAGATTTATTGTTTTACAAATTTAAAATTTAATTACAAATAAAATATTAATTTTGTAATCTGATTTAATAATTTTATACGTCGTAACAAATATTTAACATGGAAAGTAATTTATAAGTTCAAACAAAAAAATAAAACTAATAATTTTTTTAAGCCATTTCCTTTTTTCTTTTTAAATAGTCAGGATGTATTCTCTATTTTTTTATAGAAATTTGAACTCATGTCATTTTTAGTATAATATACCTTTAGAGATATAATGTTTCCTATGCTATAAGCATGCATTGCAAAATAAATTATTGGCACATTTACTCTCAGCATATGACAGAATAAAATAAATAAAAATCAGTTTGTTTATAATGTCCATGTACAGTTTCCGAAAATGTAATAGGAACCGCTGTGTAACTTCAGCTTTTGAAAAATGTTTAAAAGATCGGCATGCCGAAGCAGATCTTAGTATTCATTGATTACATTCTAATATAGAAAACAAAGGCATAAAGCAATCAAATGCTAGGAACTCAGTTTACGTTTCATTAAATCTAGTTCATTATATATGTATCTAAGTTATTACATATTATTTTTGGAGCTGCCATGGTTTCTCGACTTATTAAAGTTAAGCCCTCCGTTTCGAAATTTATAGGATTGCCACAATTGTGTATACTTTAAGATTATCGCTAATTTATATTTTGAATAGTTAGGAACACTTCCGTTTAATTAAAAAATTCTTACTAATGTTGAAATAGGTCTTCGCAAGAATTTCAATACATATATCTGTATATTCATTTGGTTCATGGAATGTCAATGTTTTTATAAATTTCATTAAAATAGGAACTTTTTAGTTTTCGTAGTATGGTTTGTGTATGTTCGTATTTTTCTCCTGTACGTATCTTTCGCATCTCATTATGCAATCATTTTTCCATTTGTAGTCTGTAATTTAGAATATGTTTAGCTTGTTAGGATAAGTTTGAGTAGAACAACTCACCTATGTCTTAACCACCTTGGTTTTAAGGCCATACAAACACTCCAAATTACTTTCCACCTATAACTAATAAAATAAGAGTTACTGATTTAGATTTTACCGATTGAATAATTATCAAAGTCGATTGAGTAACACTACTCGAACTGATGTTCATTATTAACATTACAAACCAAAGAAATTATAAAACATACAACTAAATAACAATAAAAACGCAACTTGAAAATAAATGGATTTGAATAAAATATTTATTTTTGTACATGTTTCAGTATATTAATGTTATTCGGATCTTGCATTAGTTGAATTATACATTCACATTATATATAATGATATTTAAGCCCTAATCAAGTGTCAATATCAGTATTTGTAGCACCAAGAACTCAATTTATATCGATTCATTCCAAAACATATATATATATAAATATATATATTTATGGTCGCTTCTTAAAAAACATCGAAATAGATGGGGCAAATTTTGAGACAAAAGGCAAAGGAGATAAAAAGTACCATGTACTGCTTTGTTGATTTAGTTAAACACTTAAAGTGCACTTTAAAATTTACTTGGGATTTCAAATTCTTCTGCAATATTTTAAAAAGCACATGACTCTGCTTTTTTAGTTTTATACGTATACATTTGTATACAATTTTCTTGTTGAATTTTGTATTTATATATACCTATTATATTATAACCTATTAAAAATAAAAATATTTTATCGATTATTTTGTAATAATTAAATTTGCGAGGCGTTTAAAATACATTTATAATAAAAAGTTCTCAGTGTTTTTTTTAAGGTATGTCTCTTTCTTCAATATTTAAAGATGATTTTTGATTACATCATTTCATTTACAAGCGGCAAATAAACGAAAGAAAACTTGTTTAATTAAAAATAAATTGACAGGCTAATTTATATAAAATTAAAAATTTTAAATTAGTAATTTTAAATCTGATCAACAGATAAGATAAAAAAAAACCTGCCGAAACTCTTACCGGTGATATGGTTTCGGTTGAAGAGCTGCTGCATTATTTCCTGATTACCAGCGATTTTTCGCACATCATCATTGCCGATTTCGGCTGGCAAGTTATGCTGCATATGACTTTTGGAATTACCACCAGCAGAATCATAGTTAAGCATACAGTTCTTTTCAGGAAGAGCATTTGAATCTTGTACAGATCCTGGAGTAAGATTAGCGTTGCTTGACGCATTCGAAACAACATGTTGGAACAGAAAGGTCTTCGAAAAGTCGTAAAATCTTTTTTCCCTGTCGGAATCGTTGTCATCGCTGCCGCTGCCATTGCTCTGGGCATAAAACTCGGTGGTTTGTTCGAGTAGCTTCTTCATCTTGCAGATATGCTCTACGCTAAAAGCGTGCTTTCGGATGTTGACTTGGGTGACTTGGCACAGCTGGCAGTCCTGAAGATTCATTTCGTGATCCTGTTCCAGGGGCACGCCATTAGCTTTTAGGTCGCTGATAACCTCTTTGCCACTAGAACCATCATAGCTGTTATCGTCAGATATGTGTGCATAGTGCCGCTGATTGCGGGATTTTTTGTCTTTGGCCCGAGAATTTTGAAACCAGACCTTCAAGAATAATGAAAAATGGAGCAAGAGATGCTCTGTTATAAGTGCTGCTTTTTCTACATTGATATTCTTAGAGAACTACTATTTTTAATTTAATTTACTGCATTATTTACCTTTTTAAGTTTTTTTTTCGCAAGCTTGAAAGTGTGACTTAAAAAATCAGTCTGTCGACCAATAAATTGGGCAATAAGTTTAAGATTGTCTATCATTTAATAGGTCTGTGTTGCATTCTCACTAAAAAATAAAGTAAAAAACGATACAAATTAATAATAGGAAATAATAAAAACATCTGTATTTATATAAATACATATAAAAACTTCAGTGCAAACTCAAAACTCTATATATTTTATTTCGATTTGTTTTCAAAATCCAAAACTATGGACTCCGCAACATAAAACAATAACCAGCATTTTTATACCCTTGCAGACGGTATTATAATTTCAGTCAAAAGTTTGCAACGCAGTAAATGAGACATATGCGACCCTATTCTTGATCAGTATCTCCAGGAGAGTCGATCTAGCCATGTCCGTCTGTCCATCCGTCCGTCCGTTTCTACGCAAACTAGAAACGATGCCAGAATGGTGCGCTAAATCGAGATAGCTTCAGTGTTTTTAGTAATATAGGCATTAAAAACGAAATGTGGTCGTTTTGTAATAACTGCAAGGGTATATAAACTTCGGCTTACGGAAGATTGCTTCCTTTCTTGGTTTTGATTACCACTATTAGAGAAGCGCTTTATGATGACTTAAATGAAAACAAGAAAGAAAAGCTAACTTCGGCCGGAGCCGAATGTTCTATAAATTATATTCTCCAAAACTATTTATATGATGCATTCTTAATACTCATAAAAATCCCAACTTCCTAACTTTAAAAACACCAAAATTATTGCATTTCCAATCATTCAGTTATATGGCAGCTGTAGGATATAGTCCTTATGAAATTTGGTAGGTCAGATTGATTGGCCAAAAATAAAACCCATAGAAAATCACAAGGAAAGAATGGTGTGTGCAAATTTTCAATTCGATATCTTTAAAACTGAGAGTCTAGTTTGCGTAGAAACAGACAGATGGACATGCTTAAATCAACTCAGGAGGCGATCCTGATCAAGAATATATATACTTTATAGGGTCGGAGATGTCTCATTCACTGCGTTGCACACTTTTGACCAACATTATAATATCCTATGCAAGGGTATAAAAACCAAGGACAACAAAATAAGACTTTAAAAGGTGCCAGCTCATTAGTTTACAGTTGCCGTTCATTTGAATTTGCACCAAAAAAAAAATAAAAGAACAATACAAATTAAAAAAGAAAATAATAAAGACATCTGTATTTATATAAATGCATATACAACTTTTAAATCTTCAAAAAACTACAGTAAAAACGTAAAACTGTATAGATTTTAATGATTTTTAAAATACTCAAATTACTATGGACTCCGTAACATAAAATAATACTTATAATACCATGACAAGAGCACTTTATGATATGTTTAAAAACATAGGTCAAAAAAATATGACTTTGTAAAAGGTTCTAACCCATTCATTTAAAATGATGTATAAAATACAAGAAACTTTACGACAAAGAACACCAGCGCAATATTTAAAAGTCTAGTACTCCGTTTTTAAAAATCCGTTTGTCAGTTACTCAGAACGACAAAAAATACCATAAATTACTTAGCCTCCTTAAATGAACTCTAGGCGAACGTTCGAAAGCCCCTAGCGAAAAGATTAAAGGCCTACTCAGATCGAAAAACAACTTCGCCAGCGGAAAAACTTGAATCTTTTCAGTGTAACAGCATTTTTGACAGTTTATCAGAATCGAGGTAGCTATGTACGGTCGTACTGTTTGTTGACAAACAGTTAAAATTGAAAACAACTTATTTGCAGAAAGGTACCATTACATTACATATTCTCAATTACATTGTCAAGACGAGTCTGCCGGCGTACAAAGAAATTTAAAAGAAACAAAAACATCTGCTCCGCAACAGATACTTTAAAAAATTGACGGAAAACCAAAAAAATACTGGGAAACATAGCCTACAAGAACTATTTAATTGCAGCTATAAACTTTAAATGACCAAATAATTATCAGGAAGTTAAATTATAACTTTAAATTTTATTTTTTTTAATTGACTTGCCAAGATAATTGAGAATATCCTTAAAGTGTTTTTTCCTGTAGCAAATTTTGTTTCATTTTTAATTGCTTGTCACCAAAACTAGCTGCTTAACTCGCCGAACTTGTTTTTCGATCTATACTAGGCTATAAAGGACAGCTGTCAAAAGTTTTGCTACTTCATGACGTGTATGTTTCTGTGTAGGCAACGTGTGAAAGCACATTGCGTTGGTGTTGTTTTCCGGAATCTTGATGTTTCCTTTCCACAAAGTCCTGACATTACAAAATTTTTGTTTGCTATTTCGTAGATAACATTATTACATTGTGAGTTTATGTTCAATTTTTTTTAACTCGTTATATGAAAAATTATGAAAAATGTGATTATGCGTTGCGCAATGGCTTGAAAATGTACAGTAAAGCAGTAATGCTTTTAAAATTTACATAAAAATTAGCCATAAAAAACTTTTGGTTTTTGAATAAACTCAAATTTTAACTTTTTTTTACTTCTCAGAAGGCAATTCCAAAGTCCAAACATAAGTTAAGATAATTATCTAATAATGTTTCACTAGCTCAAAATCTGAATATATGTCTGTATATATATTGATACTTACTTGCACTACGCGTTTCTTAAGATTTACTTTCTTAGATATCTCTTCAAGCATTTTTCGGCTTGGGTTTGATTCGGATTGATAGCATTCATACAAAAAGTTCAGTTGCTCCGGAAGAATAGTTGTACGTAGACGTTTGTTTTGTTTGGATGAAACATTAACAGGAGACACAGAAGACCGTATCTCCATCTCGTTTGCTTTATGGATTGATGGTATATTCGTTTCATCCTTTTGGCAAGCTTTTTCGTCATCATTAAAAGTCAGGGTCTGAGAGTTATTCTCTATCATAGTGGCATCCAGGAAGTCTTCTAGATTGTGTAGGTATTGAGACTTTTCCTTGTCATCTTTTTGTAAGGATCTCGTGCTTAAATATTTGCTATCATCATTTATTGTTATTGATGTAGGAGCCACTGACACCTCTTCTATAATGTCAACTAATTTGCTACCGTTCGCCTCGGTTGTATCGGTTTTCACCGAGTTAATGTTAACGTTATTGTTATTAAGCTTTTCAACTTCATTTCTGTTTTTAAATAACTCCTTTTCTTCGCATGGCCTGTCTATGCTGATTTGTTCTTCTTGCTTTATTCTGTGTAGTTCTGTTGCCTGCGCCAACGATGTTTCGGCAATGACATTAATAATTTCATCCGCCGTAGGTTTTGGCATCTGCGACGACGGTTTGTAGCCTAGGCCATCAGGCATTATTTGGGGCGAGGCAACTAACTGAAAAAACTTTTTTGACTCGTTCAGTTGATAATACTGTAGTAGAAACTCGATGGTTGGCTTTTTACTAGAGCTAAACGGATGCTGTTGATTTGATTTTGTCTTCAGTGCTGCCTCTTCCTGTGTGCGATAGTACTGCAGTAAAAAGTCATAGTTACTGACTTTTTTTAATTCGCTCTGCTGATAGAAATTAGTTAAGAATTCCAGTTCAAAGTCGAATTCATTTCCTTGTTCTTGGGACTGAAGTTGCACTGCTTTCTTATGTTTGCGCTGCATTAGAAACTGCTGTTTCAATTCTGAGTTCGTTTCATTTTGCACAAAATATTTATACAGGAATTCGTGCTTCTTATGTGAAGCCTCGAGTTCCGATATAGTCGGTAAATCATCTGGATTGGAAGAGCTATCCGAGTATTTTCGTTTTTTTGTTGGTGGTGGTTGGTTTTCAGGCTGTTGTTGTTGAACCGCTGCTTGTTGTAGACTTTGCAATATACTACCGAACGGACCGAAATTGGCGTCTGGGCTCGAATTTTGGACTGGGACTGAAAATATTGTTTCTGGATTCATCAGGTGCAATAGTTGATGCTCTCGCAATTTCTCCAAGTGGTTAAACTGCAGTTCGCATTTATCACAGTCATACTTGGGAGTTCTTTGTGGATGGTCTAAACTGTTACTCCGTTCTCGTTGGGGGGGCGTAGGGGTCGTGGATGGGCTGAAGTCAGTGAGTGAAGATGACTTCGCAAACAAATGCTGTGGTGACGGAAAAGCGGCAATTGATTGCTGTGGAAACTGTCCCGGCAGAGTGGCTGCAGAGACGGTTGACATAGTTTGCGAAACTACTGTTGAGCCTGACGGACAAATACCAACATGATGTATATCCATGGAGGAGTTGGAATCCTCAGAGCTCAAATTCTGAGCGATTTGAGCAGCAGCGATTTGTGCCTTGGCGGATTTTTTGTTATTCTCCTCTTTGAAGCAGTGATTTTTCTGGTGGCGTATTAGCTCGTAATACCGTTGAAACACAAGGCTACACTTTTTGCAAGCATAGTTAATGTTTTGTTTTTTAGTCTCCTCATTTTCGAAGAGGGAATTGTTCGGTTGGTTTTCGTAAATCTTGCGTTGCTTTTGCCTGGCATTTTGAAACCAAACTACAATTACACGGGGGGACAATAACAAAAGCTTACTTAAATACTCAAGATCGCTGTCTTTCGGGTATGAATTGTTCTCAAAAAATTCCTGCAAAACCTTTATTTGATAGTCCGTGAAACGGGTTCGGTTGGCTCGCTTACCACCCGATGTCGATGATGAGGAACTTGATGAGTTGGAAGAGTTACTTTCGAACTGAGTGCTGGCACTGGCCGAGCTCGAGATTGGAGCTGAGTTCTTGTCGAATGTTTTTCCAACAACCTGCAGTTTTTTTGGTGGCCCCATATTACTAGCCATGTTTTCTAATTGTTGGTTTATTAAATCATTCATACTGCCGTAGAGATTTCCTGCAGCTCCACTGCACGGAGTAGGAGGGCGTGACATTACATCGGAGCTACCACTCTCCGATTTGGTTTCAAAAATGTTTGTTTGCTGTTGACTTTGACAGTGAAGTGAAGAACCTGCATGTAACGATTGGTCCTGGGACATATCCGTATCTTGATTTGTAATAGATTGTTCTGGCGGATCCGCAAGTTCCTGTTGATGCTTTAAGTTAATGTTTGGCTGATGTTTTGTTTGGAATGCGAAGTCAATGGCCCCAATCATGTCATCCTGAGGCTCTGATTTTATTTGCCCTTCTACAGGATATTGCAAGCCTTGGTCCTTACCCCCGTGCTGTCCAAAAAATAAATTATTGCTAAGATAATCGGATATGTTGCCGCTCGAGTTGGTCGATTCTGGGCGAGAAACAGGCGTAGAGCTTGGAACGGTAGCAGCAAATAAGACGGGCACGGATGATATTGCTTTTCCAACCGTGGTCACTCTTGTAGTTGAGTTTTCTTTAGAGTTCAGATTGGTATTAACAGACGATGCTGAAGAAACCGTTTCTGTAGTCATTGGCGCTGATATTGTGATGCTAGTATCATTCAAAGGGGTAACTTTGGCCTGACCTGTACGTTCATACTCCTCCAAATTAAGAGTTGTCGACGGTGGATTATTAAAATTATAAGGAGAATCCTTGTTGCGTTGCCTTTCTTTGAACAACGTATTTCGGAACCAGTGTTTAACCACCTACAATAAAAAATGTTGTTTAACCGTTTTTACATTTATGTTTTCTAGGCCATACCTTCATTGGAAGATTTGCTTTCTGTGACATTTCCATAATGCTCTCTTCACTTGGTGAGTTATTTATGTCGAAATGTGCCCGCAAAATTTTTAACTGGTCATCTGTAATACGCGTACGGGCCCGTTTTTGGTTGCTTGCCAGCTGTAATAGCAAATAAGATTCACCGTAAAGAAAAATTAAAAAGGTGTAATACTAAGTAAGTGTAAGTGAACACTCACTCCCTAATTAATATAATAAAATTTCAAGGAACCTGGCTTACTACAATTGTGTAGCCACCTGGACCCATCGGTTAAGCCAAAAACCGATTAAATATCAATAGCTTTTGTTTTGTATAGCAAAGATGCTTCTCAATTAATATAATAATCATAATTTATGTTCCCTTTTTCTGAACCTTTTCGAAATATATGTGTATTTAAATAGTATATTTTAAGAAAGAGAAGCTAAGATTGAGTTAGATTTTAAATAGTTTGGAAAAAGCTGACCTTAACCTCGAGTTGACTAAAATTAAGAAATAATAAAATGGAAAACATGCAACACTCTTCGACATTTTTGTCATGGTTTCCAGATAAATTAGTTTGCAAAATATGTTGTATATTAATTATTTAAATACAGACAGATGGACATGGCAATACAAACTCTTCTGTTCAGCCTTATATAATAAATGTCTTTTTCACTGCGATGCAAATTATAATATTTTTTGCAAGGGCTTATAAAAAATAACCTTTCGGACTAGAAAATTAGTTAATTGTTTTTTTAATTTTTCTCATTCTAGCTATTTTAACCATCAGTGTTTAAAATGTTTATGTTTTTAAACTTATATCAATTGATGTATTAATAGGCAAAATGGGACAAGTAAAAAAAAAATTTACGACTTTTCTGGTCCGAAATTTATGTTTCATTCCTTTTAGGTATCCCCATTTTATGGCGTTGCCAAGTATTTGGATCTTGCCACATAGGATAAATACAAATCTTGCCAAATATGTTTAAAAATGTTACAATAAGAACGTAGTTATTTACGTATTTTAATGGTCTTTCAACAATAAAATCATTTTAAAAAATTATATTAAAATCAAAACAGATTGTTTAATACAATCATAATCTTCTTACAGTACCTGGGAGTTTGAGTTGACATTGTGCTGAGGTGGAGCTGAGACTGTCGTTCCTTTAACAGAGTCTACCGGTAAAGCGTTGACTCCGCTGGTGAGCTGAGCATCAGATAATCCTGTCGCGACAGCCGCGTTGGTGGAGGTAATGCTGATGTTTTGAGCTGTTGGCACGGGAACAGTATTGCTTCCGGGGGCGTTCGCGCCGTATACCAAAGGGGGTGCTAGGTTCATGAAGTTAAGGGACATCAAATGGTGAAACTGCATTAAATTGAGCATATCCACCGGGTTAATCGGCAGTCCCGAGGCGGCAGCTGCGGCGCCAAAATGCTGTTGCATATGCTGAAGATTTTGCAGATTTTGTAAGCCCTGAAAGGATTCAAATTAATGTCATGTCCTTAAAGCGCGCAAACCTGATATTGTGATGGCACTACCTGCAAGTGCTGGGAAATTTCTCCAGTGGACAGTGATAAGGCTTCGGGGTGGACGCCTACAGCATCTGAGTTACACTGTTGCTGCTTTAGCAAAGCTGCAAAAGTTGCGAGGTATTGCTGCTGGTTCTGGGAATCCAGAGACATTGGGCTAGGTGTCAAATACCTAATTTCCTTGCTAGCTTGTGACTCCACGCGAAGCGGAGAGACATCATTCCCTGCGACCTCTGCAAACAAATCAACAGTACAAACAAATTTAGTGCTGCGTACAACCAAAATTTATACTTTCGTTAAAAATTGTATTACCTCTTTCTAGCGCAAGAGTTTCCCCTGATGAATTTTTGTGCACCTCATCGGCATTCAATGTCGTCGTTTGAGGACTATTTGACCTTGCTAATTGTGTTCCGTCTTCGGAGTGTGCCAGCTCCATGTGTTTCTGCAGCGCCTGCGTGCTCCGGAAGTTTCGTTGGCAAAGGGAGCACTTTGTTGCATCCCGCATTGTGTGGTACAGCATGTGCGTGGTGAGCTTTTCTTGAGTTTTGAACGCCAGGGAACACTGTTTGCAACGATATTTGTAGACGTGGCGCTCTGAGATAACTAAGCTCATGTGAGAGTCTTGGAAGTGGCTGATCATAGTTGAAATGGTTCTAAAACTCATGTAGCAGGGCCGACTTATGTGGCTGGAGGCGAGACACAAATACTCCCCATTTTGCAATGAAAAATGTTGGTTCTGTTGCGCATGCTGAAGTAGCTGTTCCTCGTGCTTGAAGCTGGCCTCACACTGCTGGCAGGAGAGTCCTTGCATTCCCACTGGGTGACTTGAATTAGTCGCACTGGCGCACTTGGTTTCGTTTGCACTGGAGGCCGAAAAGCTTGAAGTGCCCTCGAAGCCTTCATTGGGTGCAGGTGTTGCCTCTTCGGTGCTGCTATTCGCATATGGAACTTGAGAGGTTATATCAATGCACTCACTTCCTTTTCTCCAGGCTTTCTGATCCACCAGCAACAAAAGCCGAGACAGACCATCCCTGGTAACACTGTGAACGCTTGTTAAATGGGCCTCCAGGTACTGCTTGTCCCGAAAATGGTTCTCTAGACACAGAGGACACTGCACACCTACTTGAGCTTCCGAATCTTTCGGCGACTCCGAAGATGCCGATACAGTCGCCTGCGGAGCCATTTTTTTGGAATCCTCTATTTCTGCCAGGGGTTCGTCCTCTTCCTCAATCCGCTCCCGCTTAATGCCAAATGGGCCGTCACTAGCATTCGTATCCATGCTCTTATCTGTTTCGACAGCATCATGAGTCGGTGCATTCATAGCGGCGCAACGTTGTTGCACCGCAGCTAGAGCGGCTGCTGCCATAGCTGTTTGAAAAGCTTGCAGAGCAGCGGTGTTGGTGGGTATACTAATAAAGTTATCACTCTCAGCACACGGGTGCTCAGTCTCAATATGAGAAGCAATGTCGCCCTTTGATTGTACGAAGTATTCGCAGAGATTGCACTTAAATACTGTGGTAGGAACTGGGGCACCAGAACCAAAGTTATTTACGCTTGAAGATGGAAAGTGACCCAAAGTCTTGCCACATGATGTCGCAAAACTTGAGGGAGAAGTTGGTGAACAAATACTAACATCGGGAATGGCAGACTCTCCAGTCGCAGATGATGCAGCAACAAATCCGACATCCGGGGTTTCATCATTTGGTTCGATTCTTGCCAAGTTAAATCCAGTCTCGAAAGTAACCTCTGAAATATGAAAAAAGTCATAAGTCAAATCAAAAAATCTGCAAAAATTCATATAATCGACAAATTAAAAAATAAATAGCCTTATTTTTTGAATTATCTTAAAGATCCAAAAATAATGTAGTCTCTCTTTTTTATACCATGCCCTTTAATGATCGTAACAGAAAAAAAATTGCCAAATTTGTAAACCCTTTGCGTCAGAAGTTATTTCCAAAATTTTAAAATATTAATTTGTAATAATTTGTATCATTTGGGAAAAAAGACAACTTTAGGAAGTAGTTGGGGTTTCTTAATTCTATTAAAATTTTATTTTACGATTTTGGGGAGGTACGGCGAAAGAACTACACCCGCCCATAACATGTCGGTAATTAATTTAAATAATAATAATTTTAATAAAGTCCACTAAAAATGTTTTGCATCAGAAATGTTGTGTATAAACAGGAACGGAAAGGCTTGCCGAAGTTTATATACCCTTGCAGTTATTACAAAGCGACTGCATTTCGATTTCTATGTCGTTTCTATGGCATCTTAATGATATTGTTGTCCGATTTTGACAAAACTAAAAGCGTAATTCCGTTATAGTAAATAATAATAATAATATAAATAATAAACAGAAAAAGAGAAATATAATTATTATACCCGTTACTCGTAGAGTAAAAGGGTATATTGTATTCGTGCAAAAGTATGTAACAGGTAGAAGGAAGCGTTTCCGACCCTATGAAGTATATATATTCGTGTTCAGGATCACTAGCCGAGTCGATCTAGCCATGTCCGTCTGTCCGTCCGTATGAACGCTGAGATCTCGGAAACTATAAAAGCTAGAAGATTGTCATTTTGCATGTAGATTTTAGGAGTTCCTACGCAGCGCAAGTTTGTTTCGAAATGGTGCTGTGGCCGCAGTTTTGATGATATTATGAAAATTTTAATTGATATGTATTTGTTTCGTCAATAAATATCGATTGGCCTAATAAAAGTTTGCCACGCCCACTCTAACGCCCAAAAACCCACTAAACGCGTAAGCCTGGCTAGCGCCTACATTTCCGCCTTTCATGGCGCATCTAACGGATGACTTTGGAACAGCTGGCCAAGGTGCTAATACGAGCGGCGAAAAACATACAAGAAGGCATATTTATATTAAGTTGTTTAGCTGAGTAACGGGTATCTAATAGTCGAGGCACTCGACTATAGCGTTCTCTCTTGTTTTTTTATTATTTTGTTATTTTCCTATGGGAGCTATATGATATATGCAGATGTCCGATCTAAATTTAATTAAAACCGATTTTCCATAGTATGTATTTAAATATAACCAAATCCCCAAGAACAAACAAAAATATAAAACAAATTTATAATATAATAATTATAATTAAAAAAAAAATAAATAGGCGAGAATGAAGAATGGAAAGTGCAAAAAATATGCATTTAGCAGACATATTTAACAAGAAAGGTAGTAAAATTCGGCAAGCCCAAGTTTATATACCCTTGCAGTTATAACAAATCGAATACATTTCGATTCCTATGCCTATACAGTTAAAATTTAAAAAAGATTGTTCCTATGGTAAAGACAACTTTTGGGAAAGTTTCAAGCAGATAGCATTAATACTGAGGGACTAGTTTGCGTAAAAACTGACGGCTAGATCGACTCACCTGGTGATGCTAATCAAGGATATATATACTTTATAGGGTCTGAAATGTCTTGTTCACTGCGTTGCAAAATGACTGAAATTATAAGACCCTTTGCAATGGTATAAATATACCAAAGAAGGCTACAGTAGAGTTTCCAAACTATTAAAAAGCTTAAAGCTTCTTCAGAATTTCGATAAAAACGAGGACGGAAGCTAACTTCGGCAAGCCGAAGTTTTAATACCCTTGCAGACATATAAAAATAGATATAAAGGGATATTTTCACAGCATTTAACAATTATTCCTATGGAAGCTGTAAGATATAGACGTCCGATAGGCAAGCATTTTTACCCTGATTAAGGTATGCGTAAATAAATAAGACTTGGAAAAATGTATGTCAATAGCTTATACACTGCCCGAAATATCCTGAAAAACATCAATTTTGGACAGATTTCACCCTATTATTCCTGTGGGAGCTTTAGGATATAAATGTCTGATCGGTACGCTATTTTACCCTGATCATAAAAAATGCGATTTTTCAATAGCTTATATACTGCGCGAAATATCCTGAAAAACATCAAATTTTAGCCGATTTCAACTTTTGTTCTTATGGGAGCTATAGAATATAGCCGTCCGATCGTTCAAACTTGATCTGCGTACACGTGTTTTAGGACGACTGTGAAAGTGTCAGATCGCTAGCTTTTAAACTGAGCTCGCAAATAGTATTGAAACAGACGGACAGACGGACGAACGGACAGACGGACCGACGAACATGGCTAAATAGCCTCCCCTATTGATCCTGATTAAGAATATATACACTTTATGGGGTCGGAAACGTCTCCTTCACTGGGTTACAAACTTCTGACCTAAATTATAATACCCTCTGCAAGGGTATAAAAATGACCGCCAACTTTGTTTTTTTAGGGAAAGTTAACGGATATATAACGGCAAATTTACGGATAAGAAAAACTTTAAACTTCAAAAGTTTCTATGATAACTTGATTCATGTAAATTTTAAATTTAAATTCCTGAAAACTTCCAAAAAATCATCGCGTTCGGACCAATTCGGGTTGCCCTGAGTTGTCTTCAATTTGAACCCCAAAATTGTTATATTTTATTTTTAAGGCAGCACTAATTCTCCATTGTCTCATCATGTAAATGCACCAAAAAGTAGGCATCACCAATGGCAAAATCTATGTTTAGTCTTATAAATTGATAACATTTTAAATGTATGATAAAGTATTGAAATTATTTTGTGGATTATTAATAATTTAAACATAAGTGCGTTTTGCTCCACAGGTCTCCCCAGGTCCAATTTATTTTAACCCAAACGCTGAAAATTTAACTAAGCATTTTCTAATCAACAAAGAACGATGGGAATCCAACATTCGACAGAGTAAACAAAGTTCAAACGTCAGGAGGGGAATTATCAGCACAGATCCCGGAGAGAACAGCTTTTCGAATCCGCAGGCACAAGCCTCTTCACTCACAGACGGCAAAAATCGTTTGGTCCTCATTGTCTACACTCGCAAGTATTTCATTTTTGCATATAGACCCGAGACACCCTACATTGGTGCAGAGCAGCATGTGCAATTATCAACATCTTAAAAGGAGTGGGCGCAGGTACGCAGATGATGGCCAGGGTAAGAGTAAGGGCAAGGGCGAATCTGACCTGGCTTCAAATTGATGAGGTGCTGTGTGCTGTGTGCTGGTCCTGCTATGTGTGTTGCCGTAATGCCGTATTGCCGTATGAAGTGGTGGTGGAGCGGCGACTGTTTGTTGTGTCTCTGCGAGCTTCGGTCTTACTGTTCGGTGCTCTGTGGTTAGGTGCTATGCCTGCGGTTCGGCCCTGCACGACGCCGCGCATCTGATATGGGAATCTCACACTGCGGAGTGGAGTGAATTTGTTTGGCCTTTTGGATTGTGGGCATCGAAGTAAAGAAAAGACTAGCCTGAGCCTGAGCTGCTGGCTCAGTCTGGGGCTGAGACTGGTGTGGAGCAAAGTGTGCACGTCACTAATTGCAAATTCGATGGATACACATAATCGTTTTTGCATTCTTAAGTAATTTGTAATAATTTCCTTAAGGGTCAGCGTCAGCGTATAAATCTCAGAGCGCATATAAGTCGCTAAAGGAAAAGAGAGGGCGAAGACGAGAGCCAAGGCGAAAAAGAATTTACGTAAACGCGACGATGATTCCAAACGTGAGGATGCGTACGAGGACGAGGCCAAGGCGAAGACGATAATAATCGAAGAGCGAGGCAGAAGAAATTGAACTGAAATCAGCGCTTAATGATGAGTTACGAACGAACGAACCGTATTATACAATGCAATATGGTTATGGTTTGTGGCAGGGGTATTTTTTTTGAAAATCATGAGCATGAGTATGAGCGTTTGTGTTTATGCGAGTTATGTGTGTATATGTTTCATATATTCCTTTTTTTTATTCTAATCTTGTACATTTTGAAAGGTACAAAATTGTAACCGTGCCAGAAGATTAGGCAATTAAGTCTATTTTTAATAGATTATTGCCAAGAAAAATTATATGTTTATAATTTAAGCTTTTTATGACCTGCATTTAGACCACTCTGAATTGAAGTTTATTTAACTAGCATTGTCATCAAAAAAGTTAAACGAATGGCTTGGGCAAATGGAGTATTTAGTTTTGGTACTCTTAACGTATACTAACAAAAATGACTTCTGACGTATTTGACGTATTAGTAGCTAAACCGGTTTAGAAACTTTTTAAAAAGTAAATCGTTTATACAACTTTAAACATTTAGACATTGAAATGTTGCATATTGAATATCGTGAATAATTATTAAAAATGATTAATATTAAAAAATTGCTAATTAATTAAGTGGTTATACGTTTTTTTTTACTTATATACCATTGCAGCTGTTACACAAATTATGAATTCTATCAGTAAATCAAACTAGCTTCGTTGTTTTTGTTTACAAAATTGTTCCATCTTTTCTTTGGCTATATTAACTATATACTTTTAACTGAAATTATAATACCCTAAGAACTAAAGAAAAACTATTCAGGTAAAAAAAGAAAAGTTAAAAACTGTAAAAAACATTTACAATCTTTGTTAAAAATTTTTTAAGAGATATTTTCAATTGTCTTATTAAAACTTTGACTAATTCAAGCATATACTTATGGGATATATTCAGATATTGGTTGTCTTGAATTATGCCATTATGTTCAAAACAACAAAAGAATGCCGGTTTGGCCGGATCGATTAATTATTGTCGGTTTTTTTGTTGGCAAAATTACTTGTCTTTAAAATATAAGTTTCAAAGGTTTTACACAATTTTACGGCACTTGTGCCATGACTATTAAATACCTGTTAGTCTGTCATCCAATTTCATAACTATAAATT